GGGGGGGGGTGTAATGGTGAAAATAGACAATAAAACACGGAGCAGTAACTAAAACGATAATTTCGGACAAGAAAGCAAAAAATTAAAATTCGACTAAAGGAATTAACCACGAACAGGACAGTCGGTTAGCTTAAATGTAAATCCAGATGTAGAGTATCGTTGTTTCAAGATCAGTGACAATGAGAAGAGAAGAAAACAAATAAAGTTATATTTGGCTGCGGCCGAATCGCATACCCACCACTATGCTTTGCACATTCTATTCTCCAACTTCTTTTATTTGATATCCAAACGTAGCTGGTATTATTAAGGAAAAATTAATCGCGCTACCTATCATATCATAAGATTTTAGGCAGATTATACATATCTTCATTTGAGGAGTGTACACAAAATAGTTTCTGCCTTGTTTGTCTTAAGACAAATAATAAGCATAAAACTTTAAAAAAAAGGAAAAAAAATAAAATTTTAATTATTCGTAATTTTCTCTGGGCATGGTTGATTGTTTCCATTTTTGAACGTAATGAGAAGAGGGTTTCTTAAAGTAAATGTTTAGCCTTCTAACTCTAATAACTTCCGAGTAACGAGCAAAAACTCACAAATGTTTGTTAAAAAAGACTGAGTTGCGTTTAGTTTACGCTCGACTACGGTTCCTGCTCTGACCAATTTGGTTTATTTTCAATACCGACCTCCGTGCAAAAACTTATAACGTTTCTATCAAATTTGAAGTTGACATGTTCATTTTTGCGACCAGTTGTGTGCCATAAACGCAACACACAGATCAACAGACGGACAGACATGGCTAAATGAACTCGGAATTTCACGCTGATCAAGCATATATATATATATACTTTGTAAGGTCTTTGATGCTTCCTTTTTGGGTGCTATATATATGAGCATACCTTACAGTAAGCAGCGAGGAGAAAAAACGTGATGTTAGTCCACTATCTAGTGGAAAAATTAATTTACAGTTCACTCATTCATTTATTAAATAATATTCTAAAGGAAAATAAATTTAAATGTCTTCTAATAGTCAACAGTCAATGGTCGAGCGACCATGGACTTGCAATTAATATTTATAAAATGCAAAAAGAACTGAGTAAACACTTATGATATTTTACAAATTTAATTTTTCGCTATTTTATCCAAGCACATATAATATGAAGGGATGATCATATAATATAAAATCTCATACAAGCAAGCAAGCATACGCATTGCCAAGCACATATATATCTTAGTTTTCATCATCCTTTTCATTCTGTCGTTTAATCTATTATGCTTTCCCTCTGTCAACTGTTGATAACACACAATCTATTAAAGAAAATGTTGCTAACATTTCAAGAGGTTTAACTATATAATATCAGTATAAACATTTTGCATTAAAAAAAAAAAATAATAATAATTACATATAATGTTTTCTTAAACTTTGTTGTTAAAATGAAGATAGGTATGTACGCACACGACATGAAATGCACGGGGGTCGGGGCATATGTACACACGCGCGCACATTTCCTCTAAACAAGGAAGTTGTGCTGTTGTTTCAAGTTAAATGTATTCGTTTGCAAACATAAAGCACACACGTAAAGCTTTTTAATTGAATCCACTTAGCACAAGCAAACATACACTCTTTAGTTACTCATTTACCGCATTTTAATACTTTTTTGATGATGAAATTAAAAGAGAAAATATGCGCTTTAGAACGAATTTTCAACACCCAGCGCAAATATGTAAGGGCACATAATTGATCACATCGATCTTTGATAGAGAGTGGACATAGAAACATAGTCTTTCGTCGAGCATTTTTGCGTGCGCATTTTAATGATCTTCGAAATACCGGCTAATATTTAATTAGGGATTTTTCGCTTATTATCAAAATTAATTTGAGAGAGCATCACAACAGCTCAGTTGACATGGCTCAAATCTCAACTTTATATTCTAAAGGATGGGGGGGAAGAGAGAAAAGCGAAATATTTAAGGACCTCCGGAGAACGAATCTACCTCTACTGTTAACCACATATTAAATCTTATTTGATTTGCTTAGCTTAAAAGCTTAATGGAAATATCCAAATTACTAGTGGACTCATTTCCTTGTCCTTTCCTCACTTTTACTAAGGGGCGGGTCTAATTAAATTGCAAAAGGTAACTTATTATATATATATATATAATATATATATATGTGTTTCAGCTTAACACACTGATAAAGATAAAAAACAAACCAAATTCCTTTTAGTCGTTATGTTAGATTAACGTAACATTACTCGCTTCAGTCACAAGTATAAATATGTGGTTAGAGAATGAATTAAGGGTAATATTAAAAACAACGTAAAGCTGTTAAGTCAGCAACATTAAAATGAAATAAAAAATGGGACTTCTTTATAGGAAAATTCAACATACTTTACGCCAGTAAAACAAAGCGATACTCAAAAATTATTTAATTAATTTTCATAAAGAAATCTTTGAATATATATATATATATATATATATATATATATATATATATAGTCCCCCCCTCTACTAGAATATATTTGCTTTTAAGTTTTGCTCACAAAATACATAAATTCGCGAAACTTGTAAACATTACGTCTTTATGTCACAGAAAAGGAAGGAATTTTCATTATTTTTTACGTCAACATGAAATGCTTAAAAAAAAAAAAACAAAGGCGATCTATTTTTGCCTTTTAGCTCACGAAGCATATAATCTGTCGCTCAATGAAAACAGCATTAACAAGTTGTTAAGTTGTTGTCTAAAGCGGAAACAACGGAAGCCGCCGTTTGTAACTTACGTTAGGGGATACGTGTAAAAGTGTGCAAACGCTAAATGTATTTAAAAAGAAAATATCTTAAAACTAATGGAATTTTCATTACGTTGTCTCATTCTATTTTGTAGGTACGATTCGAAGATTCGAAATATTGCATTCGCCAAATAAAGTGTATATTTTAATACGTTCAACCTAGAAAAGATATCGCATTACTGCACATTACTGCCCCGAAAAACAGAAGCCTTTTCTTGACTTTATATCTTGGCGTGGCTGGCTATTGTTCTATTACAAAATTATAAAAACGACGTTATGTTTACGTTCCATTATATACAGGAAAGCAAAGTCAGGCAGATTAATACTCGCGGTGTCTCAAATTGTGGCAGATATTAGAAATTTCGTATATATTTTCCTATATAATAGTAGGTAGGCAGAAATGGAGTGAAAGAGCAGCAAAATATGCTTGTAATCGCACTCGTAAACAGGAATTAAAACCGCTTAGATTTATTGTTACGTTAATCGTCCGATAATATTCATTAAAAGTTGAACGAAAATGCAATATCCATTGGTTAATTGACACGCCTACTGTAGATACGACCCGCGGTGATAAACTATGCTTTTGGGGGGAGCATAGTTGTGCCGTAACTCTCACCTCTCCGTGGTGACCCGTGGTGGGGGGTGGCGACCCGTGGAAATGATCTGTGAACGGCTTGAATTATATATAACTGGTGGTCGTAACTGAACACGTAAAGGACGTTGATGAAGCCCGCCCGCCATGTCAGATGTTTAACTCGAAGAAGGGTTGTTCAGTGTTGGCTACCCGTGATTGTACGGTTGATCCGTAGGCAAGGCTAGTTTATAGGGGGGTTTGCCTAATTGCGCCGGTTATACGCAATTAACCCGTGCGCCGGATGCCGTGATGTAAAGTTTATAACAGGCGCTCACGTTAAATTAAAGTAACATCTGTAGATATGACCCAACAGCCGCCAGCTCGATTTCTTGCGGTCTTCTTCTCAAAAGATGCCACGAATTTTAAGTCCTATATTGCTATATATTACTCTGTTAACCGAAAAGTCTAACCTATAGTAGAGTAGTTAAGATGTCCGATTGTCTGATATAGGAGATCTAGATTCGATAGATCGTAACTTTGCACTTTACTACGATTTAAGGAAAAATATTTCCTGCTAAACTACTTGCACGGCCTGTGTGTACATGAGCGCATTTCAATCTAAAGCTTGAATTGTACCCAGCAAAAGTCCAGGCTCTACCTTTTCAAGAATTATCAGTTTTTTTTCAAAGTACCTGCACTTTAACCGTGTTTCGACCGAACTGCCCTGGACACACTGTCTAGCGATTTGCATTCTGAATGAAGTCACTTCAATTTATAATCTTACCGTCGCTGATCATAACAGAAAATGTCTTCCCTTAACGCATAGATTTTGTGAGTTTGTATGGAATATATGCTAATCCAAAATAAATGACAAAAAGTACAAAACTAAAATATAGTGATTTAGGACGTCGCCTTTGGGTTGTCGCTTGCAATATCTTAGAATTTGTTTTTTACAAAATATAAAATTTTTAAGCCAAAATCGGATAGTGTTTTACTAACTCGTTTTTGTTTAAAAGATTTTTAATTTTTATTCTTGGATGCAATTTGGTTCAAAAAATGCAATTTTTCTAATGAAAGGTGCTTCTACTGCACCGTGATAACAACTGCATTAAATGCCAACATATATATATATAAAGAATATAGCGCGATAAGGTCAACTTTCGTAAAGTAAAATTGTGTTACTAACTCATAATATGTTACTATGTGTCTGAGCGACGAAATAGTATTATCTCTTATTAATAAAATTGTCTCGACTTTCCAAGATATTCATATTATCATAGTCCAATTATCTTAAAGGAATTTCACTTAAGACAGCTTGCTATTCGATAAGTAACCGAAGTCAACAAACCAAGTAAGCTCTTTACAATCTTTTAGATAAATAAGTTGCGTTCAAAGCAAACAAAAAAGAAGATGCAAACATTCATTTCATATTTCATGCTTTCCTTTTTTCCTCTCTCCATATAGAAGAATATACCTCAGCGCATTCCTTAAGGTAATGCACAGACATAATGACGCCTTAATATGCCATCGAAAAATACTTGAAATGATTATTAATTTTAGTAGGTTACAACCCTCTTTGACTTTAAATAGTTATGTTATAATATGTAATCTACACGCCCTTTACTGTTATGTTATAAAACATATAAATAGCTTTTAAATTCAATCGTACATACACGCATACATATAATAAAGTCATGTGTACACGACTAACAAAGCCAAGCTGCCCTGCATAAAATAACCGAATAAAATGCATATTTTAGCTTTATGATATAAATATGTGTAAGTGTACGAGAGTAACGTAATTTCCATTATTATTCCTTTGTATGTATTAAGGCAATCGGTGTAAATAGATATATGTATATGAATATATATATATATATATGTATATGTGCATGTATATGCATATTTAAGTTATATTTATATGTATACATATATGTTATTAAGAGTATATACATTATATATCACGTATTTATCCCACAAATCCACAAATCCCAAAGTGTATTGACGTAATTTTACAACAAGAACTCAATAAACATAATAATATGTACATTAATGTATATATATATATATATATATATATATATATTATGTATATGTAATGTATGTATTTCACTATAATGGTATCGGACCATCAAACGAATAAAGATTTACCCATACTGCTGACACCGAGCAGCTACACACCAAAAATAATATACATTAAAATTTTCGTAAACTATCGAAAAAGATTATCATGCCACACACACGGGTTTGTGCAAAAACCGAATAACCAAAAGCGGTCACTTTGGCGTAAAGTACAATAAATTTATCACACTGCACACTGCACAATGGCATACTGGCAATCTAGCTTTCTTTCTCCCTCTCTCATTTTTCGCTCATCTCTCTTTCACTCGCTAGTTCTCTCTTCTTTGCCTGTCTTTCTATTTTACCGAAATTAAAGGGCAAAGATGCTGATGGAAACGAGAGAAGTAAGTATTACTATACTGGTAACCGAACCACACAAAGAACATTTTCAACCAAAGGGGAATTCAACTGCATTTTTATATTTTGGTATTTATATATGTGCGAGTAACTACTACTACTGAAGCTCTCTAAAGCTGTAACGTATAGCTTGGCACGATCACGTTGTGTCAAGTGTCACTAAAAGTTTGTGTTGGTCAAGAGGGGCTTAAGTGAAAATTTATTACATTAACAGTAACTAACCGAACTCAACTGAACTGAACTGAACTGAATTGGACTGTACCGTACTGTACGGCACTGCTCTGTTTTGCACAAAGATATGAGACTCCAGAAATGACACATTCATATATCTTACATATGTATATATATATGTATTTTATTTTTTTACTTTTTGTATACTTATTTTTATTGCTTTTAAGTAAGTAAAATATGTGTCAGTATGTACATATATATATACATATATATATGTATACATATACGAGCAGTTTATTAAACAGTAATAATGATACTATATGTCCCGGCTTACACATGCACGTAACTGACACCATATATATATATATGTGGAGATAAATTAACATGAAACACATACAATATGACATGCATATACTTACCGGTGTTGAATAGGGATGAGCCGTTAAGCGTATGCCATCCGCTTCCAAATGGCGTTTCATCACAGATTCAAGCTCCTTCATTGTTGTTGGAGTATCACATTCCGATAATATTTCATTACTATTATTTAAGGCTTTGGGATCGTTAATCATCACATAAACCAAGGCGGCACCCTTCTCCCTTAATGTCCTTACGCTTTTCAATAGTTTGCTACGATGTTGAGCATTATCGACACCAATTGCATCCAAATCGATTTCACCAATTTGCTTACAAATTTCCAATTCATCATAGCCGTTTTCCATAAAACTTTCCGCATACTGTTGCAACCCGAGAGCACGCAACCATTCACATACAATATTATTATGCGGTGGCATGTTGCTATATCACGTAATTTGTGGCGCTACGGTAATATCAAGCGGTGCAAAACTTACTTTTGGCACTTTAAGGGCAGATTTCAATTTAGTGGTAGTGGTATTCGATGACGAACAAGTTGATGATGTGGTCGAATTTGTCGGTGTCTCAATGCTAATTGCCGCCACACCAACCGATATATTACTAATAAGCGATGATATACCGGTTGTCGGTGTTGTCGTCGTCGTTGATATAAAATTAACACTTAATCCTGAGGAGGCGGCCTGACTAGCTGCTTGACTAGTATTAACTAATGTTGCCTTCATAGCAACGTTTTATCTATTGCTAAAGGATATGGTGGTGGTGACGACGGCGGCGACGGCAACGGCGACGACGTCCAATGCAGGTAGGTAATGATGGTGGTATGAATTACACAGAATAGGCAATAAGACTATTTTAAATAAAGAAAATATATAACATTTAATTGAATTTTAAATATTTCTTCTATTTCTTGTTCGATTAATAAATAAATCGGATAATATGAAAAACTTATAGATATATATTATAATATTGCATACATAGATGAAAAGCCAGCAATGCTTATGAGTTATATTGTTAACCAAGCATATGACACATTACAGGAAAAGGGAAATCAATTTAAAGCAAGAGATAAGATATATTATATAATATACAAAAGCATATATATATATATATATATATATAAGAAAGAAGAATGTGTCATGTTATGTTAAAAAAATGAACTCCGGCTATCTCATCTATATATGTCTCTTAAGACGACTACTAAACTCTCTCTTAACGTGTCTTTTGTATATCTCTCAATAATACACTGAAGTCATCTGTCGCCCCTCCTCCACCTTCTCCCTATACGTTGTGGATGGAACATTAGAACATCATTCTTCATGTATATGCAGCAGATATATATAATATTTCTTCTGAATGTATTTATTATGCCCAAGGAGCAAGCGTTGTTGTGATACCACACAAAATATTTGTTTTTAAGATGAATGCACTTAAAGTATTTATAATGAAATATATTTAATGATAAAAAGGTGTTGTTGATGTTGATGTTGTTAGTTCTGTTCCTGTATACTATACTATTTTGCTTATTGTTGTATGGCCAAACTGCAGTTTTAAAACAAGATAATAATATATACACAACAATATAAAATTATATATATTTTATTATCATATGTGCGTTATATATACACGAAAATGCACAGTTTTATTAGACTAATCCTTCAAAAATTGTATTCAAATTTAAAATGAAATTAATTCGATTTTAATTCTAAATTAACATTTGCCAGATGTTAACTCAGAAAAATATATGCATACAAATTGTGCGGAGCCAAAATCGGACCTCATTTTGGCCTCACAGTTTCTCCGTCTCTGGTGGAGGGGCACGAGTGCTAGAATAAGTTAGAGATTAAGTAGCATGAGAGCGCTCTGATAGGCTAAGAGTAGGCTGTGATAGACTAAGAGTAGGCTAAAGTAGACTAAGAGAAGTTGAGTAAGCTACAAAGTAAGTGGGATTAGGAAGCTAGGTTAGGAGTCAACTAGAGAGTAAGTAGAGATAAACAAAGGGAAATTAGATTAGTAAGTTAAGCTTAAGGGAGTTGAGTTGAGTTTAGGCTGTAGAAGGAAGTCGGTTGCGAGAGTCGAGACCCAGCATACTAGAATATGCGATTGTTGTAGGTTGTGAACTTGTGAGTGAAATATTAAACAATAAAAATGAAGAACCAAAATATAGACTTTCTTGTGATCGAAAACCTGACCCGCTGACGTACCCCAGCCCCAGGTCCGGGCAATTTAAGCTCTCACGAAATACAGTAATAGCATAGTAGCGTATGTAAAGTAATACTAGTTCAGAATTATTAATAGAGTTTTCTTATTGCGTTGTCTATAAACACTGAGAATATGATTTCGGCGATTTCGTCAAATCACTGAAATTTACACATCGCATTCAATGTAATTGCATTAGCAAAATTAATAAATAAATATAAAATTATTAACCATTTAAGTGAAACAAACAATTAACTTATGCGTCTAGAATGCTTCTGTTATTTGATGACAAAATGATGATTGATGATGCAAAAGCTTTCATACAATCATTACGCGATGATTTTTTTTTTTACAGGTTTAAATAAAAAATAACTGATACAATGTTTTTAAAAATTCCCACCTTTAATAGTTTCATTGAAATTGTTAATAAATTACTTTTATTTTATTTAATTAACATTATTTGCATTAATTACCACAATTGCTACCACATGTTATCCCCTCTTTAACTAATAATCCTTTAATTAGTAATTTACAGTGATAAAATTATAACTACTACACCTGCTTATGGTGCCAAGGATATATATTAAGTAAGCTTGTGCAGATGGTAAGCAACACCCATAAGAGCCACCAGATAGATCCAATTTTTATTATGCTAAGTAAATTTACCTTTTGTCCGTCCAGTTTTCTTGTGTTCAAGTTGCAGATTGTCATTTTAAGAAAATTTTAATGAAATGTTAATACATCCCCTCTCCCCACAACCTATGAAAATATTTCGAATCCAATCTTTTTTCTGATCATTTCCCATTTAATTTGAACGGTCGTTTTATGAACATAACTGTATTAAGCAAAATTGAAGTAGGATCCGCGTCTCGCTAAATGTTTTTTAACTTGTTTGTTTTTTAACTTAATAAATGCAACAAAATATATATAGATATTCAGTAAAAAATATGCGAGAAGCAATTAGCAAGCAATTTTGTAAATAAGAAATAGACGATTCTCTCAAAGCAGCTATCAATCATATAGGAGGGAATATATCTGATAGTTTTAAATATAAAAAAACACTTTTGTGATGAAAATTTTTTTCGATTCCTAGTTGAAATGTCACGAAAATTTTTGAATTTGCCTAAATTTCACGAAAATTTTGAACATGATACAACTTGAGGATTTGGCGCTTAATTATTTTATTGATTGACTTCGACATGGAAAATATTTAAATGGAAGTACGGAGAGGTCCATCACAAGTGAAAACTTTCTCTATCTATAGCGAAGCGCACGGAAAAGAATTTTACTGTAATTCTATAAATACTTTATAGCATAAGGTTTGATAAAAATTTTTTTTTTTTTTTGTTTTTCAATGTAAACCCGATTATAGCTTTTTCAGACTTATTAGGATATTATACAAGTAAAAAATGAAGTGGAAGAGAGGTGTAAAAAAAGCTGGAGAAGAGAAGTGAAGAACAAGTAAAAAAGGAAGTGGAAGAGAAGTGTAAAAAAAATTGGAGAAGAGAAGTGGACAACAACAGAAAAAAGAAATGAAAGATAAATAAAAAAAATAAGTGGAAGAGAAGCGGAAAACAAGTAAAAAAAGAATTGGAAAAGAAGTAGAAAAGAAGTGTAAAAAAAGCTAAAGAAGAGAGAGAAGTAGAGGAGAAGTGGAATAGAAGTGGAATAGAAGTGGAATAGAAGTGGAAGAGAAGTAGAAGAGAAGTAGAAGAGAAGTAGAGGAGAAGTAGAGGAGAAGTGTAGGAGAAGTAGAGGAAAAGTGGAAGAGAAGTAGAGGAGAAGTGGAAGAAAAGTGGAAGTGAAGAGTAGTGGAAGAGAAGTGGAAGAAAAGTGGAAGAGAAGTGGAAGAAAAGTGGCAGAGAAGTTAAAAGAAATTGAAAATTCAAGCGAAAATTCAAGTGAAAATTCAAATGAACTGAAAAGGCAACTGAAAGAACAAGCAAAAGGATGAGCGAAATAACTAGTCAAAGGACAAGTGAAGGGACAAGTAAAAGGACAAGTGAAGGGACAAGTAAAAGGACAACTGAAAAGGGCAAGTGAAAGGACTCGTGAAATAGAAGTGAAAGGTAAGTAGAACAAAAGTGGAAAAGAAGTGAAAATGAAACGGACAACAAGTACCAGAGAAATGATTTTATCATTATTGTTATTATTATTATTACCCTAATGCGCAAAGTCGAAAATGCATCAAACGTTGTTAGAATCTATGACAAACTAAGCGCACTAATCGCTAATTACAGTTGCTAATGCTATAGTTCCCTTTCGATAACGTTTTCGTGATCACTAGTTAAAAATGTTTTACAAACATCTTTGCAAACTAGGTCAACATCACTTTAAAGGGTGGTTCTCCTTGCTCTCTATAAATCAAATGTATTTTTTCTAGGTTATTAAGTCTGTTAACATCGTATCTTTGCAGATGAAAAACCTTCAATTTTCGCCAAAAACCATAAAAACGTATGCGCACAAGCAAAAAAAGTATTATTGAGAAAAACAATTTGAATAAAATTTTCAAAGCTCGAGGACCCAACTAATGTTTTCCTTTATGCGTCAACTATGTAAATATGTAAATAGGACAATACATTGAATAAGTGTTTTTAGAATTTGTTTACATAAATGCACTTTGACTAACTAACTACTGAGAAACACGCACGTAAACAACACACTAACTAACATATATAAAGTGTAAAGGATTTCGATGTATTAGTTGAGCATATCGGAATTAAATGCAATTTTTCTCACATTCTTAAATGTATTCACCTACACCTGCAGACATATATTTAGTACACACATACGTTCATATTATAACGAAAATCCAGTTAAGCTCTTATTCTTTGACGTTTATTTCTAAATAAATGTAGAAAATGTCTGCATATGTGCGGCTTCATGAGATGTCCCCTATGTGTGTAAAATAAAGCTACTTATATAAATGACAAATGTACTTGGGTCAAATAACATTAAATAAGTATGTATGCGATGATGATATTCACTCAGCAAACCTACGAAATCCTTCATCCACAAAAATTCTTTTAATGCATAGAAACGTGGAAACATAACACAAAACGACCCACTTAACAAATACATATATATATATATATATATATTTATGCATGCATACAATATACCCCCGTCCATATGTACATAGAATAATTTTATCTATGTTTGTAACAAAAATGTCTACACACATATATTTAATGCGTACGTATTTATAAACACTTATATGTGT